TTTTTATAAACACATAAACCGCTTAATTGTGTCATAATGACAATATATGCACGAGTACGAACTCTTATTACCGAGTTCAAATTGCACAATAAGGTGGATTTGCACTCCAAATGTCTTGTAATGTTGATAGACATGTGATTCTTTGATTGGTTTAGTCATATAAACACATAAACCACTTAAATTTTTCATAATGACAAGATGTGCACGAGTACGAACTCTTAGTACCGAGTTCAAATTGCACAATAAGGTGGATTTGCACTCCAAATGTCTTGTAATGTTGGTGGACATGTGATTCAATGATTGGTTTAGTCATATAAACACATAAACCGCTTAATTGTATCATAATGACAAGAAGTGAACGAGTACGAACTCTTAGTACCGAGTCCAAATTGCACAATAAGGTGGATTTTCATTCCTGTGATTCATTGATTGGTTTAGTAATATAAACACATACACCACTTAATTGTGTCATAATGACAATACGTGCACGAGTACGAACTCTTAGTATCTGGTCCCAATTGCACAATAAGATGGATTTGAACTCCAATTGTCTTGTATGTTGATAGACATGTGATTCTTTGATTGGTTTAGTCATATAAAAACATAAACCACTTATTTTTGTAATAATGACAAGACGTGCACGAGTACGAACTCTTAGTACTGAGTCCAAATTGCACAATAAGGTGGATTTGCACTCCAAATGTCTTGTAATGTTGGTGGACATGTGATTCAATGATTGATTTAGTCATATAAACACATAAACCGCTTAATTGTATCATAATGACAAAAAGTGAACGAGTACGAACTCTTAGTACCGAGTCCAAATTGCACAACAAGGTGGATTACGCACTCCAAATGTCTTGTAATGTTGATGGACATGTGAATCAATGATTGGTTTAGTCATATAAACATATAAACCACTTAAATTTTTCATAATGATAAATGTGCACGATTACGAACTCTTAGTACTGAGTCAAAATTGCACAATATGGTGAATTTCCTCTCCAAATGTCTTGTAATGTTGATGGACATGTGATTTAATGATCGGTTTAGTCATATAAACACATAAACCGCTTAATTGTGTCATAATGACAATATATGCACGAGTACGAACTCTTATTACCGAGTTCAAATTGCACAATAAGGTGGATTTGCACTCCAAATGTCTTGTAATGTTGATAGACATGTGATTCTTTGATTGGTTTAGTCATATAAACACATAAACCACTTAAATTTTTCATAATGACAAGATGTGCACGACTACGAACTCTTAGTACCGAGTTCAGATTGCACAATATGGTGGATTTCCTCTCCAAATGTCTTGTAATGTTGATGGACATGTGATTCAATGATTGGTTTAGTCATATAAACACATAAACCGCTTAATTGTGTCATAATGACAAGATATGCATGAGTACGAACTCCTATTACCGAGTTCAAATTGCACAATAAGGTGGATTTGCACTCCAAATGTCTTGTAATGTTCATAGACATGTGATTCTTTGATTGGTTTAGTCATATAAACACATAAACCACTTAAATTTTTCATAATGACAAGATATGCACGAGTACGAACTCTTAGTACCGAGTTCAGATTGCACAATATGGTGGATTTGCACTCCAAATGTCTTGTAATGTTGGTGGACATGTGATTCAATGAATTGTTTAGTCATATGAACACATAAACCGCTTAATTGTTTCATAATGACAAGATGTGCACGAGTACGAACTCTTAGTACCGAGTTCAAATTGCACAATAAGGTGGATTTGCACTCCAAATGTCTTGTAATGTTGGTGGACATGTGATTCAATGATTGGTTTAGTCATATAAACACATAAACCGCTTAATTTTGTAATAATGACAAGACGTGCACGAGTACGAACTCTTAGTACTGAGTCCAAATTGCACAATAAGGTGGATTTGCACTCCAAATGTCTTGTAATGTTGGTGGACATGTGATTCAATGATTGATTTAGTCATATAAACACATAAACCGCTTAATTGTATCATAATGACAAAAAGTGAACGAGTACGAACTCTTATTACCGAGTCCAAATTGCACAACAAGGTGGATTACGCACTCCAAATGTCTTGTAATGTTGATGGACATGTGAATCAATGATTGGTTTAGTCATATAAACACCGAGTGAAGTGCTTACACCCCTTCCCCTTTAGAGATAGGGGCGCGCTAGCGCTTTACTAATAGAATAGAATCGCTCCTGTTATATATATAATAGAAAGTAAAGGTGGCTGAGAAGCTGTTGCTTGCTGTCTACTTCGCGAGCCCACTGCCCCGTTCTGTAACTTCCTGCCCTTCTTTCGTCCGTCCACGAGGCTGTAAAAAGAGAGAAAGGGGCGGCTATCTAGTGGGAGTCGTTTCGGTTGTATGCCACGAGGTCCCTATGGACAAGGGGACAAGTGAATCATCGCTTTTGGGTGCAGGCAGCCCTCTACCATCCATCCCATTGCATTCCATCGTCTCGTATTGTACTGTACCGTATCTGACCAGATACATCTATTGAGTGAGAGAAAGGTACACATAAACCACTTAAATTTTTCATAATGATAAATGTGCACGATTACGAACTCTTATTACTGAGTCAAAATTGCACAATATGGTGAATTTCCTCTCCAAATGTCTTGTAATGTTGATGGACATGTGATTTAATGATCGGTTTAGTCATATAAACACATAAACCGCTTAATTGTGTCATAATGACAATATATGCACGAGTACGAACTCTTATTACCGAGTTCAAATTGCACAATAAGGTGGATTTGCACTCCAAATGTCTTGTAATGTTGATAGACATGTGATTCTTTGATTGGTTTAGTCATATAAACGACATAAACCACTTAAATTTTTCATAATGACAAGATGTGCACGAGTACGAACTCTTAGTACCGAGTTCAGATTGCACAATAAGGTGGATTTGCACTCCAACTGTCTTGTAATGTTGGTGGACATGTGATTCAATGATTAGTTTCGGCATATGAACACATAAACCGCTTAATTGTGTCATAATAACAAGATGTGCACGAGTACGAATTCTTAGTACCGAGTTCAGATTGCAAAATAAGGTGGATTTCCTCTCCAAATATCTTGTAATGTTGAGGGACATGTGATTCAATGATTGGTTTAGTCATATAAACACATAAACCGCTTAATTGTGTCATAATGGCAAGATATGCATGAGTACGAACTCCTATTACCGAGTTCAAATTGCACAATAAGGTGGATTTGCACTCCAAATGTCTTGTAATGTTCATAGACATGTGATTCTTTGATTGGTTTAGTCATATAAACACATAAACCACTTAAATTTTTCATAATGACAAGATGTGCACGAATACGAACTCTTAGTACCGAGTTCAGATTGCACAATATGGTGGATTTGCACTCCAAATGTCTTGTAATGTTGGTGGACATGTGATTCAATGATTGGTTTAGTCATATGAACACATAAACCGCTTAATTGTTTCATAATGACAAGATGTGCACGAGTACGAACTCTTAGTACCGAGTTCAAATTGCACAATAAAGTGGATTTGTACTCCAAATTTCTAGTAATGTTGGTGGACATGTGATTCAATGATTGGTTTAGTCATATAAACACATAAACAGCTTAATTGTATCATAATGACAAGAAGTGAACGAGTACGAACTCTTAGTACCGAGTCCAAATTGCACAATAAGGTGGATTTTCATTCCTGTGATTCTTTGATTGGTTTAGTAAAATAAACACGTACACCAATTAATTGTGTCATAATGACAATACGTGCACGAGTACAAACTCTTCCAAATTGCACAATAAGGTGGATTTGAACTCCAATTGTCTTGTAATGTTGATAGACATGTGATTCTTTGATTGGTTTAGTCATATAAACACATAAACCACTTAATTGTGTCATAATGACAAGACGTCCACGAGTACGAACTCTTAGTACCAAGTCCAAATTGTACAATAAGGTGGATTTGAACTCCAAATGTCTTGTAATGTTGATAGACATGTGATTCTTTGATTGGTTTAGTCATGTAAACACATAAACCGCTTAATTGTGTAATCATAGAAAGATGTGCACGAGTACGAACTCTTAGTAGCGAGTCCAAATTGCACAATAAGGTGGATTACGCACTCCAAATGTCTTGTAATGTTGATGGACATGTGAATCAATGATTGGTTTAGTCATATAAACACATAAACCGCTTAAATTTTTCATAATGACAAGATGTGCACGATTACGAACTCTTAGTACTGAGTCAAAATTGCACAATAAGTTTTATTTCCTCTCCAAATGTCTTGTAATGTGGATGGACATGTGATTCAATGATTGGTTTAGTCATATAAACACATAAACCGCTTAAATTTTTTCATAATGACAAGATGTGCACGAGTATGGACTCTTAGTACTGAGTCAAAACTGCACAATAAGGTGGATTTCCACTGCAAATGTCTTGTAATGTTGATGGACGTGTGATTCAATGATTGATTTAGTCATATAAACACATAAACCGCTTAATTGTATATTAATGATAACAGATGCACGAGTACGAACTCTTATTACCGAGTTCAAATTGCACAATAAGGTGGATTTGCACTCCAAATGTCTTGTAATGTTGATAGACATGTGATTCTTTGGTTGGTTTAGTCATGTAAACACATAAACCGCTTAAATTTTTCATAATGACAAGATGTGCACGAGTACGAACTCTTAGTACCGAGTCCAAATTGTACAATAAGGTGGATTACGCACTACAAATGTCTTGTAATGTTGATGGACATGTGATTTAATGATTGGTTTTTTCATATAAACACATAAACCTCTTAATTGTTTCATAATGACAAGATGTGCACGAGTACGAACTCTTAGTACCGAGTTCAAATTGCACAATAAGGTGGATTTGCTCTCCAAATGCCTTGTAATGTTGATAGACATGTGATTCTTTGATTGGTTTAGTCATATAAAAAAATAAACCACTTATTTGTGTAATAATGACAAGACGTGCACGAGTACGAAGTCTTAGTACTGAGTCCAAATTGCACAATAAGATGGATTTGCTCTCCAAATGTCTTGTAATGTTGGTGGACATGTGATTCAATGATTGATTTAGTCATATAAACACATAACCGCTTAATTGTATCATAATGACAAGAAGTGAACGAGTACGAACTCTTAGTACCGAGTCCAAATTGCACAATAAGGTGGATTTTCATTCCTGTGATTCTTTGATTGGTTTAGTAATATAAACACATTCACCACTTAATTGTGTCATAATGACAATACGTGCACGAGTAAGAACTCTTAGTACCTGGTCCAAATTGCACAATAAAGTGGATTTGAACTCCAATTGTCTTGTAATGTTGATAGACATGTGATTCTTTGATTGGTTTAGTCATATAAACACATAAACCAAATAATTGTGTCATAATGACAAGATGTCCACGACAACGAACTCTTAGTACCAAGTCCAAAAATTACAATAAGGTTTATTTGAACTCCAAATGTCTTGTAATGTTGATAGACATGTGATTCTTTGATTAGTTTAGTCATGTAAACACATACACCGCTTAATTGTGTAATCATAGAAAGATATGCACGAGTACGAACTCTTAGTAGCGTGTCCAAATTTCACAATAAGGTGGATTACGCACTCCAAATGTCTTGTAATGTTGATGGACTTGTGAATCAATGATTGGTTTAGTCATATAAACACATAAACCGCTTACATTTTTCATAATGACAAGATGTGCACGATTTCGAACTCTTAGTACTGAATCAAAATTGCACAATAAGGTGGATTTCCTCTCCAAATGTCTTGTAATGTTGATGGACATGTGATTCAATGATTGGTTTAGTCATACAAACACATAAACCACTTAATTGTGTCATAATGACAAGATATGCACGAGTACGAACTCTTATTACCGATTTCAAATTGCACAATAAGGTGGATTTGCACTCCAAATGTCTTGTAATGTTGATAGACATGTGATTCTTTGATTGGTTTAGTCATGTAAACACATAAACCGTTTAAATATTTCCTAATGACAAGATGTGCATGAGTACGAACTGTTAGTAGCGAGTCCAAATTGTATAATAAGGTGGATTAAGCACTCCAAATGTCTTTTAATGTTGATGGACATGTGATTCAATGTTTGGTTTAGTCATATAAAAACATAAACCTCTTAATTGTTTCATAATAACAAGATGTGCACGAGTACGAACTCTTAGTACCGAGTCCAAATTGCACAATAAGGTGGATTTCCACTCCAAATGACTTGTAATGTTGATAGACCCGTGATTCTTTGATTGGTTTACTCATATAAACTAATAAACCAAATAATTGTTTCATAATGACAAGACCTGCACGAGTACGAACTCTTAGTACCGAGTCCAAATTGCACAATAAGGTGGATTTGCACTCCAAATGTCTTGTAATATTGGTGGACATGTGATTCAATGATTAGTTTAATCATATAAACACAGAAACCACTTAACTGTGTCATAAGGACAAGACGTGCACGAGTGCAAATTCTTAATACCGAGTCAAAATTGCACAATAAGATGGATTTGCACTCCAAATTTCTTGTAATGTTGATATACATGTGCTTCTTTTTTTGGTTTAGTCATATAAACACATAAACCACTTAATTGTGTCAGAATGACAAGACGTGCACGAGTACGAACTCTCAGTACTGATTCCAAATTGCACAATAAGGTGGATGTGCACTCCAAATGTCTTGTAATGTTGGTGTACATGTGATTCAATGATTGGTTTAGTCATATAAACTCATAATCCGCTTAATTGTATCATAATGACAAGAAGTGAACTAGTTCGAACTCTTAGTACCGAGTCCAAATTGCACAATATGGTGGATTTGCACTCCAAGTGTCTGGTAATGTTGATAGACCTGTGATTCGTTGATTGGTTTAGTCATATAAACACATAAACCACTTAATTGTGTCATAATGACAAAACGTGCACGAGTACGAAATCTTAGTACCTAGTCCAAATTGCACAATAAGGTGGATTTGAACTCCAATTGTCTTGTAATCTTGATAGACCTGTGATTCTTTGATTGGTTTAGTCATATAAACACATACACCACTTAATTGTGCCATAATGACAAGACGTTCACGAGTACGAACTCTTATTACCTAGTCCAAATTGCACAATAAGGTGGATTTGAACTCCAATTGTCTTGTAATGTTGATAGAAATGTGATTTTTTGATTGGTTTAATCATATAAACTCATAAACCAATTAATTTTTTCATAATGACAAGACGTCCACGAATACGAACTCGTAGTACCAAGTCCAAATTGTACAATAAGGTGGATTTGCACTCCAAATGTCTTGTAATGTTGATTTACATGTGATTCTTTGATTGGTTTAGTCATGTAAACACATAAACCGATTAAATTTATCATAATGACAAGATGTGCACGAGTACGAACTCTTAGTACTGAGTCAAAATTGCACAATAAGGTGGATTTCTTCTCCAAATGTCTTGTAATGTTGATGGACATGTGATTCAATGATTGGTTTAGTCATATAAACACATAAACTGCTTAATTGTGTCATAATGACAAGATATGCACGAGTACGAACTCCTATTACCGAGTTCAAATTTCACAATAAGGTGGATTTGCACTCCCAATATCTTATAATGTTGATAGACCTGTGATTCGTTGATTGGTTTAGTCATATAAACACATAAACCACTTAATTGTGTCATAATGACAAGACGTGCACGAGTACGAAATCTTAGTACCTAGTCCAAATTGCACAATAAGGTGGATTTGAACTCCAATTGTCTTGTAATGTTGATAGACCTGTGATTCTTTGATTGGTTTAGTCATATAAACACATACACCACTTAATATGCCATAATGACAAGACGTGCACGAGTACGAGCTCTTAGTACTGAGTCCAAATTGTACAATAAGGTGGATTTGCACCCAAATGTCTTGTAATGTTGGTGGACATGTGATTCAATGATTGGTTTAGTCATATAAACACATAAACCGCTTAATTGTATCATAATGACAAAAAGTGAACGAGTACGAACTCTTAGTACCGAGTCCAAATTGCACAACAAGGTGGATTACGCACTCCAAATGTCTTGTAATGTTGATGGACATGTGATTCTTTGATTGGTTTAGTCATATAAACACATAAACCAATGAATTATGTCATAATGACAAGACGTCCATAAGTACAAATTGTACAATAAGATGGATTTGCACTCCAAATGTCTTGTAATGTTGATAGACATGTGATTCTTTGATTGGTTTAGTCATATAAACTCATAAACCGCTTAATTGTATCATAATGACAAGATGTGAACGAGTACAAACTCTTAGTACCGAGTCCAAATTGCACAATAAGGTGGATTTGCACTCCAAATGTCTTGTAATGTTGGTGGACATGTGATTCAATGATTGGTTTAGTCATATAAACTCATAATCCGCTTAATTGTATCATAATGACAAGAAGTGAACTAGTACGAACTCTTAGTATCGAGTCCAAATTGCACAATAAGATGGATTTGCACTCCAAATGTCTTGTAATGTTGATAGACCTATGATTCGTTGATTGGTTTAGTCATATAAATACATAAACCAATGAATTATGTTATAATGACAAGACGTCCACGACTACGAACTCCTAGTACCAAGTACAAATTGTACAATAAGGTGGATTTGCACTCCAAATGTCTTGTAATTTTGATAGACATGTGATTCTTTGATTGGTTTCGTCATGTAAACACATACACCGCTTAATTGTGTAATCATAAAAAGATGTGCACGAGTACGAACTCTTAGTAGCTAGTCCAAATGGCACAATAAGGTGGATTACGCATTCCAAATGTCTTGTAATGTTGATGGACATGTGATTCAATGATTGGTTTAGTCATATAAACACATAAACCGCTTAATTGTGTCATAATGACAAGATATGCACGAGTACGAACTCTTATTACCGAGTTCAAATGGCACAATAAGGTGGATTTGCACTCCAAATTTCTTGTAATGTTGATATACATGTGCTTCTTTGATTGGTTTAGTCATATAAACACATAAACCACTTAATTGTGTCAGAATGACAAGACGTGCACGAGTACGAACTCTCAGTACTGATTCCAAATTGCACAATAAGGTGGATGTGCACTCCAAATGTCTTGTAATGTTGGTGTACATGTGATTCAATGATTGGTTTAGTCATATAAACTCATAATCCGCTTAATTGTATCATAATGACAAGAAGTGAACTAGTACGAACTCTTAGTACCGAGTCCAAATTGCACAATATGGTGGATTTGCACTCCAAATGTCTTGTAATGTTGATAGACCTGTGATTCTTTGATTGGTTTAGTCATATAAACACATAAACCACTTAATTGTGTCATAATGACAAGTCGTGCACGAGTACGAACTCTTAGTACCTAGTCCAAATTGCACAATAAGGTGGATTTGAACTCCAATTGTCTTGTAATGTTGATAGACCTGTGATTCTTTAATTTGTTTAATCATATAAACACATACACCACTTAATTGTGCCATAATGACAAGACATGCACGAGTACGAACTTTTAGTACCTAGTCCAAATTGTACAATAAGGTGGATTTGCACTCCAAATTTCTTGTAATGTTGATAGACATGTGATTCTTTGATTGGTTTAGTCATGTAAACACATAAACCGATTAAATTTATCATAATGACAAGATGTGCACGAGTATGAACTCTTAGTACTGAGTGAAAATTGCACAATAAGGTGGATTTCTTCTCCAAATGTCTTGTAATGTTGATGGACATGTGATTCAATAATTGGTTTAGTCATATAAACACATAAACCGCTTAATTGTGTCATAATGACAAGATGTGCACGAGTACGAACTCCTATTAATGAGTTCAAATTGCACAATAAGGTGGATTTGCACTCCAAATATCTTGTAATGTTGATAGACATGTGATTCTTTGATTGGTTTAGTCATATAAACACATAAACCGCTTAATTGTTTCATAGTGACAAGATGTGCACGAGTACGAACTCTTAGTACTGAGTTCAAATTGCACAATAAGGTGGATTTGCACCCCAAATGTCTTATAATGTTGGTGGACATGTTATTCAATGATTCGTTTAGTCATATAAACACATAAACCAATTAATTTTGTCATAATGACAGACATCCACCAGTGCGAACTCTTAGTACCAAGTCACAAATTGTACAATAAGGTGGATTTGCACTCCAAATGTCTTGTAATGTTGATAGACATGAGATTCTTTGATTGGTTTAGTCATGTAACCACATAAACGCTTAAATTTTTCATAATGACAAGATGTGCACGAGTACGAACTCTTAGTACTGAGTCAAAATTGCACAATAAGGTGGATTTCCACTCCAAATGTCTTGTAATGTTGATGGACATGTGATTCAATGATTGGTTTAGTCATATAAACACATAAACCGCTTAATTGTGTCATAATGACAAGATATGCACGAGTACGAACTCCTCTTACCGAATTCAAATTGCACAATAAGGTGGATTTGCACTCCAAATGTCTTGTAATGTTGATAGACATGTGATTCAATGATTGGTTTAGTCATACAAACACATAAACCGCTTAATTGTTTCATAGTGACAAGATGTGCACGATTACGAACTCTTACTACCGAGTTCAAATTGCACAATAAGGGGGATTTGCACTCCAAATGTCTTGTAATGTTGATAGACATATGATTCAGTGATTGGTTTAGTCATATAAACACATAAACCGCTTAATTGTTTCATAATGACAAGATGTGCACGAGTACGAACTCTTAGTACCGAGTTCAAATTGCACAATAAGGTGGATTTGCACTCCAAATGTCTTGTAATGTTGGTGGACATGTGATTCAATGATTGGTTGTCATATAAACACATACACCGCTTAATTGTATCATAATGACAAGAAGTGAACGAGTACGAACTCTTAGTACCAAGTCACAAATTGTACAATAAGGTGGATTTGCACTCGAAATGTCTTTTAATGTTGATAGACATGAGATTCTTTGATTGGTTTAGTCATGTAAACACATAAACGCTTAAATTTTTCATAATGACAAGATGTGTAGAGTACGAACTCTTATTACCGAGTTCAAATTGCACAATATGGTGGATTTGCACTCCAAATGTCTTGTAATGTTGATAGACATATGATTCAGTGATTGGTTTAGTCATATAAACACATAAACCGCTTAATTGTTTCATAATGACAAGATGTGCACGAGTACGAACTCTTAGTACCGAGTTCAAATTGCACAATAAGGTGGATTTGCACTCCAAATGTCTTGTAATGTTGATAGACATGTGATTCTTTGATTGGTTTAGTCATATAAACACATAAACCGCTTAAATTTTTCATAATGACAAGATGTGCACGAGTACGAACTCTTAGTACTGAGTCCAAATTGCACAATAAGGTGGATTTGCACTCCAAATGTCTTATAATGTTGGTGGACATGTGATTCAATGATTGGTTTAGTCATATAAACACATAAACCGCTTAATTGTTTCATAATGACAAGATATGCACGAGTACAAACTCTTATTACCGAGTTCAAATTGCACAATATGGTGGATTTGCATTCCAAATGTCTTGTAATGTTGATAGACATATGATTCAGTAGTTGGTTTAGTAATATAAACACATAAACCGCTTAATTGTTTCATAATGACAAAATGTGCACGAGTACGAACTCTTAGTACCGAGTTCAAATTGCACAATAAGGTGGATTTGCACTCCAAATGTCTTGTAATGTTGGTGGACATGTGATTCAATGATTGGTTGTCATATAAACACATAAACCGCTTAATTGTATCATAATGACAAGAAGTGAACGAGTACGAACTCTTAGTACCAAGTCCAAATTGTACAATAAGGTGGATTTGCACTCCAAATGTCTTGTAATGTTGGTGGACATGTGATTCAATGATTGGTTCAGTCATATAAACACATACACCGCTTAATTGTTTCATAATGACAAGATATGCACGAGTACGAACTCTTATTACCGAGTTCAAATTGCACAATATGGTGGATTTGCACTCCAAATGTCTTGTAATGTTGATAGACATATGATTCAGTGATTGGTTTAGTCATATAAACACATAAACCGCTTAATTGTTTCATAATGACAAGATGTGCACGAATACGAACTCTTAGTACCGAGTTCAAATTGCACAATAAGGTGGATTTGCACTCCAAATGTCTTGTAATGTTGGTGGACATGTGATTCAATGATTGGTTGTCATATAAACACATACACCGCTTAATTGTATCATAATGACAAGAAGTGAACGAGTACGAACTCTTAGTACCAAGTCACAAATTGTACAATAAGGTGGATTTGCACTCCAAATGTCTTGTAATGTTGATAGACATGAGATTCTTTGATTGGTTTAGTCATGTAAACACATAAACGCTTAAATTTTTCATAATGACAAGATGTGCACGAGTACGAACTCTTAGTACTGAGTCCAAATTGCACAATAAGGGGGATTTCCACTCCAAATGTTTTGTAATGTGGATGGACATGTGATTCAAAGATTGGTTTAGTCATATAAACACATAAACCGCTTAATTATTTCATAATGACAAGATGTGCACAAGTACGAACTCTTAGTACCGAGTTCAAATTGCACTATAAGGGGGATTTGCACCCCAAATGTCTTATAATGTTGGTGGACATGTGGTTCAATGATTGGTTTAGTCATATAAACACATAAACCGCTTAATTGTTTCATAATGACAAGATATGCACGAGTACAAACTCTTATTACCGAGTTCAAATTGCACAATATGGTGGATTTGCATTCCAAATGTCTTGTAATGTTGATAGACATATGATTCAGTGATTGGTTTAGTCATATAAACACATAAACCACTTAATTCTTTCATAATGACAAGATGTGCAAGAGTACGAACTCTTAGTACCAAGTCACAAATTGTACAATAAGGTGGATTTGCACTCCAAATGTCTTGTAATGTTGATAGACATGAGATTCTTTGATTGGTTTAGTCATGTAAACACATAAACGCTTAAATTTTTCATAATGACAAGATCTGTAGAGTACGAACTCTTATTACCGAGTTCAAATTGCACAATATGTTGGATTTGCACTCCAAATGTCTTGTAATGTTGATAGACATATGATTCAGTGATTGGTTTAGTCATATAAACACATAAACCGCTTAATTGTTTCATAATGACAAGATGTGCACGAGTACGAACTCTTATTACCGAGTTCAAATTGCACAATAAGGTGGATTTGCACTCCAAATGTCTTGTAATGTTGGTGTACATGTGATTCAATGATTGGTTTAGTCATATAAACACATAAACCGCTTAATTGTATCATAATGACAAGAAGTGAACGAGTACGAACTCTTAGTACCGAGTCCAAATTGCACAATAAGGTGGATTTGTGGTCCAAATGTCTTGTAATGTTGATAGACCTGTGATTCTTTGATTGATTTAGTCATATAAACACATACACCACTTAATTACGCCATAATGACAAGACGTGCACGAGTACGAACTCTTATTACCTAGTTCAAATTGCACAATAAGGTGGATTTGAACTCCAATTGTCTTGTAATGTTAATAGACATGTGATTCTTTGATTGGTTTAGTCATATAAACACATAAACGCTTAAATTTTTCATATTGACAAGATGTGCACGAGTACGAACTCTTAGTACTGAGTCAAAATTGCAAATTAAGGTGGATTTCCTCTCCAAATGTCTTGTAATGTTGATGGACATGTGATTCAATGATTGTTTTTGTCATATAAACACATAAACCGCTTAATTCTGTCATAATGACAAGATATGCACGAGTACGAACTCCTATTACCGAGTTCAAATTGCACAATAAGGTGGATTTGCACTCCAAATGTCTTGTAATGTTGATAGACATGTGATTCAATGATTGGTTTAGTCATATAAACACATAAACCGCTTAATTGTTTCATAATGACAAGATGTGCACGAGTACGAACTCTTAGTACCGAGTTCAAATTGCACAATAAGGTGGATTTGCACCCCAAATATCTTATAATGTTGGTGGACATGTGATTCAGTGATTGGTTTAGTCATATAAACACATAAACCGCTTAATTGTTTCATAATGGAAGATATGCACGTGTACGAACTCTTATTACTGAGTTCAAATTGTACAATATGGTGGATTTGCACTCCAAATGTCTTGTAATGTTGATAGACATATGATTTAGTGATTGGTTTAGTCATATAAACACATAAACCGCTTAATTGTTTCATAATGACAAGATGTGAACGAGTACGAACTCTTAGTACCAAGTCCAAATTGTACAATAAGGTGGATTTGCACTCCAAATGTCTTGTAATGTTGATTGACATGAGATTCTTTGGTTGGTTTAGTCATGTAAACACATAAACGCTTAAATTTTTCATAATGACAAGATGTGCACGAGTACGAACTATTATTACCGAGTTCAAATTGCACAATATGGTGGATTTGCACTTCAAATGTCTTGTAATGTTGATAAACATATGATTTAGTGATTGGTTTAGTCATATAAACACATAAACCGCTTAATTGTTTCATAATGACAAGATGTGCACGAGTACGAACTCTTAGTACCGAGTTCAAATTGCACAATAAGGTGGATTTGCACTCCAAATGTCTTGTAATGTTGATAGACATGTGATTCTTTGATTGGTTTAGTCATATAAACACATACACCGCTTAAATGTGTCATAATGACAAAACAGTCACGAGAAATTATTCTTAGTACCGACTCTAAATTGTACAATAAGGTGGATTTGCACTCTAAATGTTTTGTAATGTTGATAGATATGCGATTCTATGATTGGTTTAGTCATATAAACACATAAACCGCCTATTAGTTTCAAAATGACAAAACGTGCACAAGTTCAAACTCTTACTACCGAGTCAAAAGTGTACAATAATGTGGATTTTCAATCCAAATTTCTGGTAACGTTGATAGACATGCGATACTATGATTGGTTTAGTAATATAAACACATTAACCGCTTAATTGAAACATAATGACCAAACGTGCACAAGTACAAACACTTACTACCGAGTCCAAATTGTACAATAAGGTGGATTTTCACTCCAAATGTCATGTAACGTTGATACATATGTGATTCATTGATTCGTTTAGTCATATAAACACATAAATCGCTTAATTGTGTCATAATGACAAAACATGCATGAGAAAGTTTACTTAGTACCGACTCTAAATTGTACAATAAGGTGGATTTGCACTCTAAATGTCTTGTAATGTTGATAGATATGCGATTCTATGATTGGTTTAGTCATATAAACACATAAGCCGCCTATTAGTTTCATAATGAAAAAACGTGCACAAGTTCAAACTCTTACTACCGAGTCAAAAGTGTACAATAAGGTGGATTTTCAATCCAAATTTCTTGTAACGTTGATGGACATGCGATACTATGATTGGTTTAGTAATATAAACACATTAACCGCTTAATTATGTCATAATGACAAGACATGCACGAGTACAAACTCTTCCTACCGAGTTCAAATTGTACAATAAGGTGGATTTTCACTCCAAATGTCTTTTAACGTTGATAGACATGTGATTCATTGATTGGTTTAATCATATAAACACATAACCGCCTATTAGTTTCATAATGACAAAACGTGCACAAGTTAAAAATCTTACTACCGAGTCAAAAGTGTACAATAAGGTGGATTTTCAATCCAAATTTCTTGTAAAGTTGATAGACATCCGATACTATGATTGGTTTAGTAATATAAACACATTAACCGCTTAATTGTTTCATAATGACAAAACATGCATAAATACAAACACTTAATACCGAGTCCAAATTGTACAATAAGGTGAATTTGCACTCCAAATGTCATGTAACGTTGATATAATTGTGATTAATTGATATGTTTAGTCGTATAAACACATAAATCGCTTAATTGTGTCATAATGACAAACCATGCACGAGAAAGTATTCTTAGTACCGACTCTAAATGTCTTTTAACGTTGATAGACATGTGATTCATTGATTGGTTTATGCATATAAACACATAAACCGCTTAATTATGTCATAATTACAAGACGTGCACGAGTACAAACTCTTAGTACATAGGCCAAATTGTACAATAAGATGTGTTTGCACTCCAAATGAATTGTAATGTGGATAGACATGTGATACTATGATTGGTTTAGTAATATAAACACATAAACCGCTTAATTATGTCATAATTACAAAACATGCACGAGTACGAACTCTTTGTAAGGTGTCAAAATTGTACAATAAGGTGGATTTGCAGTCCAAATGTCTTGTAATGTTGATAGACATGCGATTCATTGAATGGTTTAGTCATATAAACACATAAACCGCTTAATTATGTCATAATTATAAGACGTGCACGAGTACGAACTCTGAGTACGTAGGCCAAATTGTACAATAATGTGTGTTTGCACTCCAAATGAATTGTAATGTTGATAGACCTATGATACTATGATTGGTTTAGTAATATAAACACATAAACCGCTTAATTGTGTCATAATGACAAAACGTGCACAAGTACAAACATATACTACCGAGTCCAAAAATATACAATAAGGTGGATTTACACATCCAAATGTCTTGTAACGATGATAGACATGTGAATCATTGATTGATTCAGTCATATAAACAAATAAAGCGCTTAACTGTGTCCAAATTACAAAACGTGCAAGAGTACGAACTCTTTGTAAGGAGTCAAAATTGTACAATAAGGTGGATTTGCAGTCCAAATGTCTTGTAATGTTGATAGACCTATGATTGATTGATTTGTTTAGTCATATAAACACATAAACTGCTTAATTGTGTCATAATTAGAAGACGTTGACGAGTACGAACTCTTAGCACGGAGGCCAAATTGTACAATAAGGTAGATTTTCAATCCAAAAGTCTTGTAACGTTGATAGACATGCGATTCATTGATCGGGTTAGTCATATAAACACATAAACCGCTTAATTGTGTCATAATGACAAGACGTGCACGAGTACAAACTCTTCCTACGTAGTTCAAATTGTACAATAAGGTGGATTTTCACTCCAAATGTCTTTTAACGTTGATAGACATGTTATTCATTGATTGGTTTAGTCATATAAACACATAAATCGCTTAATTGTGTTATAATGACAAAACTGCATGAGAAAGTTAACTTAGTACCGACTCTAAATTGTACAATAAGGTGAATTTGCACTCTAAATGTCTTGTAATGTTGATAGATATGAGATTCTATGATTGGTTTAGTCATATAAACATATAAACCGCCTATTAGTTTCATAATGACAAAACGTGCACAAGTTCAAACTCTTACTACCGAGTCAAAAGTGCACAATAAGGTGGATTTTCAATCCAAAATTTCTGGTAAAGTTGATAGACATGCTATTAATTGATTGGTTTAGTCATATAAACACATAAACCGCTTAATTTATATCATAATGACAAGACGTGCACGAGTACAAAATCTTCCTACCGAGTTCAAATTGTACAATACGGTGGATTTTCACTCCATATGTCTTTTAACGTTGATATACTTGTGATTCATTGATTGGTTTAGTCATATAAACACATAAATCGCTTAATTATGTCATAATGACAAACCATGCACGAGAAATTATTCTTAGTACCGACACTAAATTGTACGACAAGATTAATTGATTAGTTTAGTTGTATAAATATATAAACTGGTTAATTTTCATAATTAGAAGACGTGGACGAGTATGAATTCTTAGTACGGAGGCCAAATTGTACAATAAGGTGGATTTACAATCCAAATGTCTTGTAACATTTATAGGCATGCAATTCATTGATTGGTTTAGTCATACAAACACATAAACCGCTTAATTATGTCATAATTACAAGACGTGCACGAGTATGAACTCTTAGTACATAGGCCAAATTGTAAATAAGGTGTGTTTGCACTCCAAATGAATTGTAATGTTGATAGACCTGTGATACTATGATTGGTTTAGTAATATAAACACATAAACCGCTTAATTGTGTCATAATGACAAAACGTGCACAAGTACAAACATTTACTACCGAGTCCAAGTTGTACAATATGGTGGATTTGCACTCCAAATGTCATGTAACGTTGATAGACATGTGATTAATTGATTTGTTTAGTCATATAAACACATAAACTGCTTAATTGTGTCATAATTATAAGATGTGGACTATTACGAACTCTTAGTACGGAGGCCAAATTGTTCAATACGGTGGATTTTCAATCCAAATTTCTTGTAACGTTGATAGACATGCGATTCATTGATAGACATCCAAATTTCTTGTAACGTTGATATATAATTACAAGACGTGCCCGAGTACGAACTCTTAGTACATAGGCCAAATTGTACAATAAGGTGTGTTTGCACTACAAATGACATGTGATTAATTGATTTTTTTTAGTCGTATAAACAGATAAACTGGTTAATTGTGTCATAATTAGAAGACGTGGACGAGTACGAATTCTTAGTACGGAGGCAAAATTGTACAATAAGGTGGATTTACAATCCAAATGTCTTGTAACGTTGATAGGCATGCGATTTATTGATTGGTTTAGTCAAATAAACATATAAACCGCTTAATTATGTCATAATTACAAGACGTGCACGAGTACGAACTCTTAGTACGTAGGCCAAATTGTACAATAAGGTGTGTATTCATTCCAAATGAATTGTAATGTTGATAGAACTGTGATACTATGATTGGTTTAGTAATATAAACAGATAAACCACTTAATTGTGTCATAATGACAAAACGTGCACAAGTACAAACACTTACTACCGAGTCCAAATTGTACAATAAGTTGGATTTGCACTCCAAATGTCATGTAACGTTGATAGACATGTGATTAATTGATTTGTTTAGTCATATCTACACATAAACTGTAACATCGCGTTCTGGCAAAACCCATATTTCGATCGCTAGAAAGTTCGCGATTTAAAATCGAGCATTTCGACACTATTTCGACGAAAATCGGATTATCGATCGATCGGATAAGTATACGTATTAATTATATATATATATATATATATGTAAAAGCGGTCGGGATATAAATTTTACCGTCCATTTCCATTCTCTCATGCCATTTCTTCTTCCACTTTCGAACCGAGAGAAAAGCAGAGCAAGCGAAGTTCAGGGGAACGTCGGGGAAAAATTCTCCAGCTCAATTCTTGAGTTACAGTGATCCAAAAATCCCGTAAGTAATGCCTAATTCATCTATTCATCGTAATTTATCGATTTAGAGCTTTAAAACGAGTTTTTGGTTCAGGAATTTCTTGAATTCCCGATAAGCCAAATTAGAGTTTCGGAGTATCCGGAAGCCGGATTGAGCCCAAATTTCATATACGAGCTTCCTGCAGCGAGGTAATCAATCCTCTAGTTCTAATCCCTGAATTTCGGCTATTATTTAGGCCGGGGTCCAAACCGCTGAATTTAGCTCCGGCTAGGGTTTGATGTGTTTTTATCGAGAATTTGACGCGGAGCCTAGAACTAATATTGACGGGGATACTGCAGGGGATATTAGGACGGTCTCGGATTTTAATTCGGGGTTCGTTCGTGAAATTGACGTTTTAGTACGGGAGGCTAGAATCGGTATTTGAACGACCAGAACTGGTGAGGGATTAGCACGGCATACCGGGTTTGTCGTATCACGATAATTATATTGATGCTTAGAATTGATCTAGGTGAACTAGAATGGCATGATTATGGGTGTATGGACTTCTCTGCTATATGATGAACTATAGGCTTCTGTATGATATTATTGACTTGCCCTAATCGATATGGACCTTGTTTATGTTGATAATTCCATATATGTTGCCAGATGTGGGTTTAATTGTGAATATGCCTTATGATGGTTCGAGAAGGTGATTGGATATGATTTTTCATGATTGTTGTATTTGGATGCACAAGTGGGAAAATATATATTCCCTGGTGATATCATGATGTTTTAAGGAGGATGACTTGCACGAGGGTTTATCCCGAGGAAGTGCAACTATACGACTCCTGGTTTACCTATGTTGAGCCAATTATGGCCAGGTCAAGTACATGTGCAAGTAATGAATTATGATTAAGCAAGATGAGATATGAATCATGTATAAGGATACCAAATATGAGTGTTGTGCTCTCACGGTCAACTACATAGTAATTAGGGCTCCCTATGCTATTACTCTATTATGATATGTATGATAGTCACACCTCTCATGTGGTGGTGACTGAAGAATTCTTACGAGATATGACCACACCCAGAGTGGTGTCGAGGTATGACTACACCCATAGTGGTGTGGGTATGTATGACCACATCCGACGGGATGTTGGGGTATGTATGACTACATCCGACGGGATGTGGGGTATGTTTCCCGGGAGAGTTATTAGCATGGGAGTAGCCAGGCGCCTATGATTAAAACATGATAAGATGCATATGCATAAGACAAAGTGGTTGAGTCTTTTGCTTATTGGGATATGAGGATGGCTGAGGTCCGATCCTAGTGTTTTGGCTCGTTTGCTAGATGTATGGCAGGGGTATGCTCTGTTATGAACTCACGATGCTATGATTATCTCACTCAGCTATGAGCTGACCCTCTTTTATTCTTCTTCTCTGCTTATGCTATGTGTAAGCAGATCATCAGCAGCAGCAGTAGATAAGTGTTAGGTGGGAGAGGAGCTAGAGTTGAAGCCAGGATGAGGTATGGTCTTCAACTATTCTGTGCTTGGACTACTACTCGTGATTTTGGCCAGTGATCCACACCTTTTTGTAAAAGAATGTTTTGAGAACGTTTTTCATGTGCATACTAGCTTCTGATCTAGTGTGAGATATCCACAGGTGTGGAAAGTTAATGATATGTGTATATGTTGTGAAACTGTGTAAGTTGTGACGATTATGGTATGTATAAGTATGGTATGCAGTTAGGAAGTATGAAAAGTGTGACTATGGCTAAGAAAAGCCAATGCATATGGTTGTGAGTATATATGTTTGTGATGAATTATTTTGCAGGTTAAGTTGCAAGAACTGTTAGCCCATTACGCGAGTAATTCATGTCGAAATTTTATTTAGGTAAATTTTGATAATTAATGTAACACCCGAGATTATTTCCGCTGCAATTGTATGAACAATATGATTAGGCAAAACGTATAGGGTAGGGTGTTACATAAACTGCTTAATTGTGTCATAATTATAAGACGTGGGCTAGTACGAACTCTTAGTACGGAGGCCAAATTATACAATAAGATGGATTTTCAATCATAATTTCTTGTAATGTTGGTAGACATGAGATTCATTGAATGGTTTAGTCATATAAACACATAAATCGCTTAATTATGTCATAATTATAAGACGTACACGAGTATGAACTCTTAGTACATAGGCCAAATAGTACAATAAGATGTGTTTGCACTCCAAATGAATTGTAATGTTGATAGACCTGTGATACTATTATTGGTTTAGTAATATAAACACAGAAACCGCTTAATTGTGTCATAATGACAAAACGTGCACAAGTACAAACACTTACTACCGAGTCCAAATTGTACAATAAGGTGGATTTGCACTCAAAATGTCTTGTAACGTTGATAGACGTGTGATTAATTGATTGGTTTAGACATATAAACACATAAACTACTTAATTGTGTCATAATTATAAGACATGGACTAGTACAAACTCTTAGTACGGAGGCCAAATTGATCAATAAGGTGGATTTTAAATCCAAATTTCTTGTAACGTTGATAGACGTGCGATTCATTGAATGGTTTATTCATATAAACACATAAACCGCTTCATTATGTCATAATTATAAGACGTGCACGAGTACGAACTCTGAGTACGTAGGCCAAATTGTACAATAAGGAGTTTTTGCACTCCAAATGAATTGTAATGTTGATAGACCTATGATACTATGATTTGTTTAGTAATATAAACACATAAACCGCTTAATTGTGTCATAATGACAAAACGTGCACAAGTACAAACATATACTACCGAGTCCAAAAATATACAATAAGGTGGATTTACACATCCAAATGTCTTGTAACGATGATAGACATGTGAATCATTGATTGATTCAGTCATATAAACAAATAAAGCGCTTAACTGTGTCCAAATTACAAAACGTGCAAGAGTACGAACTCTTTGTAAGGACAAAACGTGCACAAATACAAACACTTACTACCGAGTCCAAATTGTACAATAAGGTTGATTTGCACTCCAAATGTCTTGTAACGTTGATAGACATGTGATTAATTGATTTGTTTAGTCATATAAACACATACACCGCTTAATTATGTCATGATTACAAGACGTGCACGAGTATGAACTCTTAGTACATAGGCCAAATAGTACAATAAGATGTGTTTGCACTCCAAACGAATTGTAATGTTGATAGACCTGTGATACTATTATTGGTTTAGTAATATAAACACATAAACCGCTTAATTGTGTCATAATGACAAAACGTTCACAAGTACAAAAACTTACTACCGAGTTCAAATTGTACAATAAGGTGGATTTGCACTCCAAATGTCTTGTAACGTTGATAGACGTGTGATTAATTGATTGGTTTAGACATATAAACACATAAACTACTTAATTGTGTCATAACTATACGACATGGAATAGTACAAACTCTTAGTCCGGAGGCCAAATTGTTCAATAAGGTGGATTTTAAATCCAAATTTCATGTAACGTTGATAGACGTGCGATTCATTGAATGGCCTATTCATATAAACACATAAACCGCTTCATTATATCATAATTATAAGACGTGCACGAGTACGAACTCTGAGTACGTAGGCCAAATTGTACAATAAGGAGTTTTTGCCCTCCAAATGAATTGTAATGTTGATAGACCTATGATACTATGATTTGTTTAGTAATATAAACACATAAATCGCTTTGTTGTGTCATAATGACAAAACGTGCACAAGTACAAACACTTACTACCGAGTCCAAATTGTACAATAAGGTTGATTTGCACTCCAAATGTCTTGTAACGTTGATAGACATGTGATTAATTGATTTGTTTAGTCGTATAAACAGATAAACAGGTTAATTGTGTCACAATTAGAAGACGTGGACGAGTACGAATTCTTAGTACGGAGGCCAAATTGTATAATAAGGTGGATTTACAATCCAAATGTCTTGTAATGTTGATAGGCATGCGATTCATTGATTGGTTTAGTCATATAAACACTTAAACCGCTTAATTATGTCATCATTACAAGACGTGCATGAGTACGAACTCTTAGTACATAGGCCAAATTGTACAATAAGGTGTGTTTGCACTCCAAATGAATTGTAATGTTGATAGAACTGTGATACTATGATTGGTTTAGTAATATAAACACATAAACCGCTTAATTGTGTCATAATGACAAAACGTGCACAAGTACAAACACTTACTACCGAGTCCAAATTGTACAATAAGGTGTATTTGCACTCCAAATGTCATGTAACGTTGATAGACATGTGATTAATTGATTTGTTTAGTCGTATAAATAGATAAACAGGTTAATTGTGTCACAATTAGAAGACGTGGACGAGTACAAATTCTTAGTACGGAGGCTAAATTGTACAATAACGTGGATTTACAATCCAAATGTCTTGTAACGTTGATAGGCATGAGATTCATTGATTGGTTTAGTCATATAAACACATAAACCGCTTAATTATGTCATCATTACAAGACGTGCATGAGTACGAACTCTTAGTACATAGGCCAAATTGTATAATAAGGTGTGTTTGCACTCCAAATGAATTGTAATGTTGATAGAACTGTGATACTATGATTGGTTTAGTACTATAAACACATAAACCGCTTAATTGTGTCATAATGACAAAACGTGCACAAGTACAAACACTTACTACCGAGTCCAAATTGTACAATAAGGTGTATTTGCACTCCAAATGTCAGGTAACGTTGATAGACAAGTGTTTAATTGATTTGTTTAGTCATATAAACACATAAATTGCTTAATAGTGTCATAATTATAAGATGTGGACTAGTACGAACTCTTAGTACGGAGGCCAAATTGTACAATAAGGTGGATTTTCAATCCAAATTTCTTGTAATGTTGATAGACATGCGATTTATTGAATGGTTTAGTCATATAAACACATAAACCACTTAATTATGTCATAATTATAAGACGTGCGCGAGTACCAACTCTGAGTACGTAGGCCAAATTGTATAATAAGGTGTGTTTGCACTCCAAATGAATTGTAATATTGATAGACCTGTGATACTATGATTGGTTTAGTAACATAAACACATAAACTGCTTAGTTGTGTCATAATGAAAAAACTTGCACAAGTACAAACACTTAATACTGCGTCCAAATTGTACAAAAAGGCGAATTTACACATCCAAATGTCTTGTCACGATGATATACATGTGATTCATTGAAGGGTTTAGTCATATAAACAAATAAACCGCTTAATTGTGTCATAATTATAAAACGTGCACGAGTACGAACTTTTTGTAAGGAGTCAAAATTCTACAATAAGGTGGATTTGCAGTCCAAATGTCTTGTAATGTTGATAGACATATGATTCATTGATTTGTTTAGTCATATAAACAAATAAACTACTTAATTGTGTCATAATTAGAATATATTGACGAGTACGAACTCTTAGTACGGAGAACAAATAATACAATAAGGTGGATTTTCAATCCAAAAGTCATGTAACGTTCATAGACATGCGATTCATTGATTGGTTTAGTCATATAAACACATAAACAGCTTAATTGTGTCATAATGACAAGACGTGCACGAGTACAAACTCTTTCTACCGACTTGAAATTGTACAATAAGGTCGATTTGCACTCCAAATGTCTTATAACGTTGATAGACATGTGATTCATTGATTGGTTTGGTCTTATAAACACATAAATCGCTTAATTGTGTCATAATGACAAAACGTGCATGAGAAAGTATTCTTAGTACCGTCTCTAAATTGTACAATAAGGTGGATTTTCACTCTAAATGTCTTGTAATGTTGATAGATATGTGATTCTATGATTGGTTTAGTCATATAAACACATAAATCGCTTAGTTGTGTCATAATGACAAATCATGCACAAGTACAAACACTTACTACCGAGTCCAAATTGTACAATAAGGTGGATTTGCACTCCAAATGTCTGGTAACGTTGATAGACATGTGATTAATTGATTTGTTTAGTCGTATAAACAGATAAACTGGTTAATTGTGTCATAATTAAACGACGTGGACGAGTACGAATTCTTAGTACGGAGGCCAAATTGTACAATAAGGTGGATTTACAATCCAAATGTCTTGTAACATTGATAGACATGCGATTCATTGATTGGTTTAGTCATATAAACACATAAACCGCTTAATTATGTCATAATTACAAGACGTGCACGAGTATGAACTCTTAGTACTGATAAGCCCCAAACCACGAGGCTAGGTGACCGCTGCTCGAAATTCTCTCAACTTCTCAAGTTTCTGTTGAGAAAGCCAGATATGTACCAAGGTAACAGGGAACTGGATGGAGTTGGGTTGTGCAACTTCAACACCGACGTTCGGGGAAGAGGCTCGTCCCAATTGAAAAGGCAACCCGACCACGATTGAGGTGATGACTCAATCGATACAAGGCTCGCTCGTCGTGGGAAAACACTCCGCACAACAAGGACAACTTCTTTGAGCAAAACACTCAATGAACTAAGTTCTCGATTATTGACGTCCCAACATTACAATGGAGTTCTAGGCCTTTAAATAGACAAACTTAAACCTAAATCAACTACAAAACGAACAAGGAAAGACAATTAAACTACACTACAACTAAGGTAACAATTCCCAAACGGAAAAGGACTTCCAACTCGTCTATAATCCTCTTTCTTCTAGCTTAAGTAAACTGCCTCCAAAACAGGGTCCATAGCATCTTTAAGCACCTCGTTCACATCCCTCCAGGCCTCCATCTTCTTATCCAATTCCTTTCCTCTGTAGACAAAAATACTTAATTTTATGTAGTGCAAAGAACTTCCCTTGAATCGACTCCATCTGCTCAGAATAGAGCTCCAAAGTGACCTGCCTGAACTTGCCTCCAGACTTAGCCAAATTCTGGCTGTTCGCCAGTTTTGAGATAGCTACTTTGACGCCTTGAAACACAGCTTTAATGGATTTGTATAAGCCCGAATCCCATGCCATATTAAAGAGGGAGTTCTTATATTCAAACCAACACCTTAAACTCTCATTTATTCCAACCCAATCGGAAGATTCGAGCTCGCAAAGTAGGCTACCCGAACTCGTCATAACACTTAGCCAAAAATTCAGGTTGTGCAAATGAGTTGGCTTAACTTCTTGAACAAACAAATCGAGCTTGGAATGGAAGCAATTCAAGCTCATATCAAGTACATAGGCCAAATTGTAGAATAAGGTGTGTTTGCACTCCAAATGAATTGTAAGGTTGATAGACCTGTGATACTATGATTGGTTTAGTAATATAAACACATAAACCGCTTAATTGTGTCATAATGACAAAACGTGCCTAAGTACAAACTCTTCCTACAGAGTCCAAATTGTACAATAGGGTGGATTTGCACTCCAAATGTCTTGTAACATTGATAGACCTGTGATACTATGATTGGTTTAGTAATATAAACACATAAACCGCATAGTTGTGTCATAATGAAAAAACGTGCACAAGAAAGTATTCTTAGTACCGACTTTAAATTGTACAATAAGGTGGATTTGCACTCTAAATGTCTTGTAATGTTGATAGATATGTGATTCTATGATTGGTTTAGTCATATAAACACATAAACAGCCTATTTGTGTCATAATGACAAAACGTGCACAAGTTCAAACTCTTAGTACCGAGTCAAAAGTGTACAATAAGGTGGATTTTCAATCCAAATTTCTTCTAACGTTGATAGACATGCTATTCATTGAATGGTTTAGTCATATAAACACATAAACCGCTTAATTATGTCATAATTATAAGACCTGCACGAGTACGAACTCTGAGTACGTAGGCCAAATAGTACAATAAGTTGTGTTTGCACTCCAAATGAATTGAAATGTCGATAGGCCTGTGTTACTATGATTGTTTTAGTAATATAAACACATAAACCGCTTAGTTGTGTCATAATGAAAATACGTGCACAAGTACAAACACTTACTACTGAGTCCAAATTGTACAATAAGGTGGATTTACACATCCAAATGTCTTGTCACGATGATAGACTTATGATTTATTGAAGGGTTTAGTCATATAAACAAATAAACCGCTTAATTGTGTCATTATTACAAAACGTGCACGAGTACAAACTTTTTGTAAGGAGTCAAAATTCTACAATAAGGTGGATTTGCAGTCCAAATGTCTTGTAATGTTGATAGACCTATTATTCATTGATTTGTTTAGTCATATAAATACATAAACTACTTAATTGTTTTATAATTAAAATACGTTGACGAGTACGAACTCTTAGTACGGAGAAAAAATTCTACAATAAGGTGGATTTTCAATCCAAAAGTCTTGTAACGTTGATAGACATGCGATTCATTGATTGGTTTAGTCATATAAACACATGAACAACTTAATTGTGTCATAATGACAAGACGTGCAAGAGTACAAACTCTTTCTACCGACTTCAAATTGTACAATAAGGTCGATTTGCACTCCAATTATCTTATAACGTTGATAGACATGTGATTCATTGGTTGGTTTTGTCATATAAACACATAAATCGCTTAATTGTGTCAGACTGACAAAACGTGCACGAGAAAGTATTCTTAGTACCGACTCTAAATTGTACAATAAGGTGGATTTGCACTCTAAATGTCTTGTAATGTTGATAGATATGTGATCCTATGATTGGTTTAGTCATATAAACACATAAACCGCCTATTTGTGTCATAATGTCAAATCTTGCACAAGTTCAAACTCTTACTACCGAGTCAAAAGTTTAAAATAAGGTGGATTTGCACTCCAATTTTTTGTAACATTGATAGACATGTGATTCATTAATTGGTTTATTCATATAAACAAATAAACGGCCTATTTGTGTCATAATGACAAAACGTGCACAAGTTCAAACTCTCAGTACCGAGTCAAAAGTGTACAATAAGGGGGATTTTCAATCCAAATTTCTTGTAACGTTGATAGACATGCGATTCATTGATTGGTTTAGTCATATAAACACATACACCGTTTAATTATGTCATAATTACAAGACGTGCAAGAGTAGGAACTCTTAGTACATAGGCCAAATTGTACAATAGGGTGTATTTGCACTCCAAATGAATTGTAATGTTGATATACCTGTGATACTATGATTAGTTGAGTAATATAAACACATAAACCGCTTACTTGTGTCGTAATGACAAAACGTGCACAAGTACAAACACTTACTACGGAATCCCAATTGTACAATAAGGTGGATTTGCACTCCAAATGTCTTTTAACGTTGATAGACATATGATTCATTGACTGGTTTAGTCATATAAACAAATAAACCACTTAATTGTGTCATAATTACAAAACGTGCACGAGTACGAACTCTTTTTAAGGAGTCAAAATTCTACAATAAGGTGGATTTGCACACCAAATGTCTTGTAACGTTGATAGACATGTGATTCATTGATTGGTTTAGTCATATAAACAAATTAACCGCTTAATTGTGTCATAATTACAAAACGTGCACGAGTACGAACTTTTTGTAAGGAGTCAAAATTGTACAATAAGGTGGATTTGAAGTCCAAATGTCTTGTAATGTTGTTAGAAATGCGACTCATTGAATGGTTTAGTCATATAAACACATAAACCGCTTAATTATGTCATAATTATAAAACATGTACGAGTACGAACTCTGAGTACGTAGGCCAAATTGTACAATAAGGTGTGTTTGCACTCCAAATGAATTGTAATGTGGATAGACCTGTTATACTATGATTGGTTTAGTAATATAAATACATAAACCGCTTAGTTGTGTCATAATGACAAAACGTGCACAAGTACAAACACTTACTACCGAGTCCAAATTGTACAATAAGGTGGATTTGCACTCCAAATGTCTTGAAACATTGATAGACAGGTGATTAATTGATATGTTTAGTTATATAAACACATAAACCGCTTAATTATGTCATAATTACAAGACGTGCACGAGTACGAATTCTTAGTACATTGGCCAAATTGTAGAATAAGGTGTGTTTGCACTCCAAATGAATTGTAATGGTGATAGACCTGTGATACTATGATTGGTTTAGTAACCCGCTTAATTGTGTCATAATGAAAAAACGTACCTAAGTACAAACTCTTCCTACCGACTCCAAATTGTACAATAAAGTGGATTTTGCACATCCAAATGTCTTGTAACGATGATAGACATGTGATTCATTGATTGGTTTAGTCAAATAAACAAATAAACCGCTTAATTATGTCATAATTACAATACGTGCACGAGTACGAACTCTTTGTGAGGAGTCAAAATTCTACAATAAGGTGGATTTGCAGTCCAAATGTCTTGTAATTTTGATAGACCTATGATTCATTAATTTGTTTAGTCATATAAACACATAAACTGCTTAATTGTGTCATAATTAGAAGACGTTGACGAGTACAAACTCTTAGTACGGAGGCCAAATTGTACAATAAGGTGGATTTTCAATCAAAAAGTCTTGTAACGTTGATAGACATGCGATTCATTGATTGGTTTAGTCATATGCACACATAAACCGCTTAATTGTCATAATGACAAGACGTGCACGAGTACAAACTCTACCTACCGACTTCGAATTGTACAATAAGGTGGATTTGCACTCCAAATTTCTTTTAACGTTGATAGACATGTGATTCATTGATTGGTTTAGTCATATAAACACATAAACTGCTTAATTATGTCATAATTATAAGACGTGCACGAGTACAAACTCTTAGTACATAGGCCAAATTGTACAATAAGGCGGGTTTGCACTCCAAATGTTTTGTAATGTTGATAGACCTGTGATTCTATGATTGGTTTAGTAAACCGCTTAATTGTGTCATAATGACAAAACGTGCCTAAGTACAAACTCTTTCTACCGAGTCCAAATTGTACAATAGGGTGGATTTGCACTCCAAATGTCTTGTAACATTGATAGACATGTGATTCATTGATTGATTTAGTCATAAAAACACATAAATAGCTTAATTATGTCATAATTATAAGACGTGCACGAGTACAAACTCTTAGTACATAGGCCAAATTGTACAAAAAGGCGAGTTTGCACTCCAAATGTTTTGCGATGTTGATAGACATGTGATTCTATAGTTGGTTTAGTCATATAAACACATAAACTGCTTAATTGGGTCATAATGACAAAACGTGCACAAGTACAAACACTTACTACCGAGTCCAAATTGTACAATAAAGTGGATTAACACATCCAATGTCTTGTCAAGATGATAGACATGTGATTCATTGATTGGTTTAGTCATATAAAAAAATTAAATGCTTAATTGTGTCATAATTACAAAATGTGCACGAGTACGATCTTTTTGTAAGTAGTCAAAATTCTACAATAAGGTGGATTTGCAGTCCAAATGTCTTGTAATGTTGATAGATCTATGATTCATTGATTTGTTTAGTCATATAAACACATAAACTACTTAATTGTGTCATAATTAGAAGACGTTGATGAGTACGAATTCTTAGTACGGTGAACAAATTGTACAATAAGGTGGATTTTCAATCCAAAAGTCTTGTAACGTTGATAGACATGCGATTCATTGATTTGTTTAGTCATACAAACACATAAATCTCTTAATTGTGTCACAATGACAAAACGGTGCACGAGAAAGTATTCTTAGTACCGAGTCCAAACTGTACAATAAAATGGATTTGCACTTCAAATGTCATGTAAAATTGATAGACATTTGATTCATTGATTGGTTTAGTCATATAAACAAATAAACCGCTTAACTTTGTCTAATAAAAAAACGTGCACAAATACAAACTCTTCCTACCGAGTCCAAATTGTACAATAAGGTAGATTTGCACTCCAAATGTCTTGTAACTTTGATAGACATGTGATTCATTAATTGGTTAAGTCATATAAACACATAAATCACTAAATTGTGTCATAATTACAAGACGTGCACGAACTCTTAGTACATAGGCCAAATGTCACAATAAGGTGGGTTTGCACTCCAGATATTTTGTAATGTTGATAGACATGTGGTTCTATGATTGGTTTAGTAATATAAACACATAAACTGCTTAATTGAGTCATAATAACAAAACGTACACGAGTGCGAACTCTTAGTACGATTCTAAATTGTACAACAAGGTCAATTTGCACTTCAAATGTGAGGTCATCAAGCTTGATGTATATAATGTGCATTGACATACCCGAACTCGGCAATGGCACTGCTTAACTGTGTCTTAATGACAAAATGTACACAAGTTCAAACTCTTCCTATCGAGTCCAAATTGTACAATAAGGTGTATGTGCAATCCAAATGTCTTGTAACATTGATAGCCATGTGATTCATTGATTGGTTTAGTCATATAAACACACAAATCGCTTAATTGTGTCATAATTACAAGACACGCACGAGTACGAATTCTTAGTACATAAGCCAAATTGTACAATAACGTGGATTTGCACACCAAATGTCTGGTAATGTTGATATACATGTGATTCATTTACTAATTTATTCATATAAACACATAAACCGCTTAATTATGTCATAATTACAAGACGTGCACGAGTACGAATTCTTAGTACATTGGCCAAATTGTAGAATAAGGTGTGTTTGCACTCCAAATGAATTGTAATGGTGATAGACCTGTGATACTATGATTGGTTTAGTAACCCGCTTAATTGTGTCATAATGAAAAAACGTACCTAAGTACAAACTCTTCCTACCGACTCCAAATTGTACAATAAAGTGGATTTTGCACATCCAAATGTCTTGTAACGATGATAGACATGTGATTCATTGATTGGTTTAGTCAAATAAACAAATAAACCGCTTAATTATGTCATAATTACAATACGTGCACGAGTACGAACTCTTTGTGAGGAGTCAAAATTCTACAATAAGGTGGATTTGCAGTCCAAATGTCTTGTAATTTTGATAGACCTATGATTCATTAATTTGTTTAGTCATATAAACACATAAACTGCTTAATTGTGTCATAATTAGAAGACGTTGACGAGTACAAACTCTTAGTACGGAGGCCAAATTGTACAATAAGGTGGATTTTCAATCAAAAAGTCTTGTAACGTTGATAGACATGCGATTCATTGATTGGTTTAGTCATATGCACACATAAACCGCTTAATTGTCATAATGACAAGACGTGCACGAGTACAAACTCTACCTACCGACTTCGAATTGTACAATAAGGTGGATTTGCACTCCAAATTTCTTTTAACGTTGATAGACATGTGATTCATTGATTGGTTTAGTCATATAAACACATAAACTGCTTAATTATGTCATAATTATAAGACGTGCACGAGTACAAACTCTTAGTACATAGGCCAAATTGTACAATAAGGCGGGTTTGCACTCCAAATGTTTTGTAATGTTGATAGACCTGTGATTCTATGATTGGTTTAGTAAACCGCTTAATTGTGTCATAATGACAAAACGTGCCTAAGTACAAACTCTTTCTACCGAGTCCAAATTGTACAATAGGGTGGATTTGCACTCCAAATGTCTTGTAACATTGATAGACATGTGATTCATTGATTGATTTAGTCATAAAAACACATAAATAGCTTAATTATGTCATAATTATAAGACGTGCACGAGTACAAACTCTTAGTACATAGGCCAAATTGTACAAAAAGGCGAGTTTGCACTCCAAATGTTTTGCGATGTTGATAGACATGTGATTCTATAGTTGGTTTAGTCATATAAACACATAAACTGCTTAATTGGGTCATAATGACAAAACGTGCACAAGTACAAACACTTACTACCGAGTCCAAATTGTACAATAAAGTGGATTAACACATCCAATGTCTTGTCAAGATGATAGACATGTGATTCATTGATTGGTTTAGTCATATAAAAAAATTAAATGCTTAATTGTGTCATAATTACAAAATGTGCACGAGTACGATCTTTTTGTAAGTAGTCAAAATTCTACAATAAGGTGGATTTGCAGTCCAAATGTCTTGTAATGTTGATAGATCTATGATTCATTGATTTGTTTAGTCATATAAACACATAAACTACTTAATTGTGTCATAATTAGAAGACGTTGATGAGTACGAATTCTTAGTACGGTGAACAAATTGTACAATAAGGTGGATTTTCAATCCAAAAGTCTTGTAACGTTGATAGACATGCGATTCATTGATTTGTTTAGTCATACAAACACATAAATCTCTTAATTGTGTCACAATGACAAAACGGTGCACGAGAAAGTATTCTTAGTACCGAGTCCAAACTGTACAATAAAATGGATTTGCACTTCAAATGTCATGTAAAATTGATAGACATTTGATTCATTGATTGGTTTAGTCATATAAACAAATAAACCGCTTAACTTTGTCTAATAAAAAAACGTGCACAAATACAAACTCTTCCTACCGAGTCCAAATTGTACAATAAGGTAGATTTGCACTCCAAATGTCTTGTAACTTTGATAGACATGTGATTCATTAATTGGTTAAGTCATATAAACACATAAATCACTAAATTGTGTCATAATTACAAGACGTGCACGAACTCTTAGTACATAGGCCAAATGTCACAATAAGGTGGGTTTGCACTCCAGATATTTTGTAATGTTGATAGACATGTGGTTCTATGATTGGTTTAGTAATATAAACACATAAACTGCTTAATTGAGTCATAATAACAAAACGTACACGAGTGCGAACTCTTAGTACGATTCTAAATTGTACAACAAGGTCAATTTGCACTTCAAATGTGAGGTCATCAAGCTTGATGTATATAATGTGCATTGACATACCCGAACTCGGCAATGGCACTGCTTAACTGTGTCTTAATGACAAAATGTACACAAGTTCAAACTCTTCCTATCGAGTCCAAATTGTACAATAAGGTGTATGTGCAATCCAAATGTCTTGTAACATTGATAGCCATGTGATTCATTGATTGGTTTAGTCATATAAACACACAAATCGCTTAATTGTGTCATAATTACAAGACACGCACGAGTACGAATTCTTAGTACATAAGCCAAATTGTACAATAACGTGGATTTGCACTCCAAATGTCTGGTAATGTTGATATACATGTGATTCATTTACTAATTTATTCATATAAACACATAAACCGCTTAATTATGTCATAATTACAAGACGTGCATGAGTACAAATTCTTAGTACATAGGCCAAATTGTACAATAACGTGGATTCGCACTCCAAATGTCTCGTAATGTTGATAGACATGTGATTCATTGATTGATTTAGTAATATAAACACATAAACCGCTTAATTATGTGATCATTACAAGACGTGCATGAGTACGAACTCAATACATAGGCCAAATTCTACAATAAGGTGAGTTTGCACTCCAAATATCTTATAATGTTGATAGACATGAGATTCTATGATGTGTTTAGTCTTATAAACACAAAAACAACATAATTGTATCATAATGACAAAACGTGAACGAGTACAAACTCTTAGTACCGACTCTAAATTGTACAATAAGGTGGATTTGCACTCCGAATTTCTTGTAATGTAGATAGACATATGATTTAGTGAATGGTTTAGTCATATAAACACATTAACCACTTAATTGTGTCACAATGACAAAACGTGCACAAGGACAAACTCTTACTAATGAGTCCAAATTGTACAATAAGGAGGATTTTCACTCCAAATGTCTTGTAACGTTTATTGACATGTTTCGTTGATTGGTTTATTCATATAAACACATAAACCTCATAATCGTGTCATAATTACAAAACATGCACGTGTACGAATTCTTAGTACGAAGTCAAAATGGTACAATAAGGTGGATTTGCAGTACAAATGTCTTGTAATGTTGGTAGGCTTGTGATTCATTGATAGGTTTAGTCATATAAACACATAAACCGCTTAATTGTTTTATAATTATAAGACGTGTGCGAGTACAAACTCATAGTACAGAGGAAAAATTGTACAATAAGGTGGATTTGCACACCAAATGTCTGGTAATAGTGATATACAAGTGATTCATTGATTAGTTTAGTCATATAAACACATAAACCACTTAATTGTGTAATAATGATGAAACGTGCACAATTATAAACTCTTCCTACAGAGTCCAAATTGTACAATAAGGTGGATTTGCATTGCAAATGTCTTGAAATGTTGATAGCAATGTGATTCATTGATTGGTTTAGTCATATAAACACATAAACCGCTTAATTGTTTCATAATTACAAGACGTGCACAAGTACAAACTCTTCCTACCGAGTCCAAATTGTGCAATAACGTGGATTTGCACTCCAAATGTCTTGTAATGTTGATAGACATGTGATTCATTGATTGATTTAGTCATATAAACAAATAAACCGCTTAATTATGTCATAATTACAAGACGTGCACGGGTACGAACTCAATACATAGGACAAATTGTACAATAAGGTGGGTTTGCAATACAAATGTCTTGTAATGTTATAGACATGTGATTCTATGATTGGTTTAGTCATATAAACACATAAACCGCGTAATTGTATTAGAACGGAAAAACATGCACGATTACGAACTCCTAGTACCGACTCCAAATTGTACAATAAGGTGGATTTTCACTCCAAATGTCTTGTAATTTAGATAGACATATGATTCAATGAATGGTTGATAGAAACACGTTTCTTATTCCATCATAATTATCATAATGATTATTATTAGGATATTTACATTTAAGGATAGTAGTCTTTTTGTAGGATTAGGTTTGTTATTAGGTTTTCCTATCTTTCCTATAAATATGTAATTGGGGTTTCATTATCAATCAAGAAATAACAATTATCCAGAAGGTATCTCTCCCAAAACCCTAATCCTCTATCTCCTAATTTCTCGTTCTCTTGCCCTCTAAGGCTTCGGCTGAATCTAGCCTCTATTCTTCTTCTTCCTCTAATTTCCAATCTCAAAACCCTAATTCTGTTTTTAATCCCTAAATTCCAATCTAACGACCAAACCCAATAGAACCCTAATCCCAGGTTCTATCATTGGGTATCAGAGCCATGGTCGAAAATCTGAGTTCGTCACAACTCTCACCCAGGGACCACTATCGCGTGTTGAACGAGTGCCTTTGCAAGCTGGAAACCCTCATGGTCAAACAAGATGCATAATGGGAGCAGAGGGACACATAGTTCACACGACTCCTAGACCTGATTAGCAAAAGGGTCACCACGGTTGAATCACCACCTACGGCCGCGACATCTCCTGTCCACGACGAGAAGATAGACCAAACGGCCGTAGAGGAGCTGATGGCGGCGGAGCTTCCAACCTCACAAGAGACAATGAACTGCGTCGAGACTAATGAGAAAAGGGCGCTCGCTGCAGGTATCCCGATCGCTGCTCTAAACCAAGGAAAGGAGACTCCGGGCGCCATCGATAAACATTAGCCTCTGTTAGGAACGGAACAACAACAGGAACGAGGTTACCGAATCTGGAGCTGAGTCGCGGACTAGGTCGCTCTCTTTAAGACGTTCGCGACACTGCCTTCGATGCGCACGGCAGACTATCAACCGGTCGTCTCCAGGATAAAACAGCTCCTCTCAATACTCGCGGTTTTGTGCGAAAACCGAAGCTCTCTAAACACTCTCTCTATTGTGTTTCTGCTCGTTGTCATGTGATTAGAGGGGCTGGGGAGGCGGCTATTTATAGGAGCCGAACCCCTAGGAATATACCCTCTTGCTTGGGGAATAAGTCGGATTAATTAAGGAAGATAATTACTTCCTTAATTAAAACCGTCGGTTAAGATAAACCTGGAGGGATTATCCTTCGAATATTCCGTTTTAGTCGATTATCCTTAGGAATATACCTCAGAATAACCGATTAATAATTAATTATTAGATAATTAATTTCGTTCAGAATTTCTCCAAAAATATATATATAGTCTCAAGTGAACCAACCAACCGGCCGGTCGCTCGGACGGACGGACGGCGCGCGCGCGTGCGTGTGTGGTGGTCCGTTAGGTCCTCCCTCTCCCACAAAAGTGGGTCACCCCAAGGGGCATGCCCTTGGGAGAGAGGCTCCTATCTTTATACACATTTCACCAAGTAAAACTACCAATGTGGTAGTTTTTCCACTAGAGACTCTATAGCTTTCAAAGCTATTCATATACATTTCCAACAATCCCCCACTTGAATAGTTTTGAAACTATCTCTGAGCATCAACAGTTCCATAAGATCGGGCATAAGCTAAGGTATCGCGAAGATTTGAACCTTAGCGTAGTGGTTACACTTCCGATTTCATAAGGGTGACTCGTAGTCTTGAACCCTATCTCCGACAGTGTAGCACACCAGATCTTTTCATTGAGTTGTGTTCTCTTCATAGCCCGTGCGTTTGTGGCCATGCACGTTACCTTGGTTTAGTGAACGCTCTAGCAACTTTGTGCCTCCAAAGTTCCATAGGGAGCGGCCCCACTCCCACATTCACATAGGTGAGTCTATCAAGAGTACCCCCCAAAGTAAAGTACTCCACCCCATATAGGGTATAGATCTCATTAAGAGTTATTAACTCAACCTCCATTGCTTTGGGATTCATGCTTCACCATGCATGAACTTTTCGCATACTACTCATGACTTGTTATTACCCATTGAACCCATTTCTTGGGATCTCCAGTCTATTGGGTCAGGTTACCATCACTTGTAGTCCGTGGTTCGGTAGGCATAAGTCCCATACCCTTGGCGGTATTCTGGACTTTCTCTCTAGGTAATCCTTTCGTCAAAGGATCAGCTAGATTCTGTTCGGATCTTATATGATCCACCCTCACTGCTCCTATTGTTAGGAGTTCTCTTACAGTACTGTGCTTACGACGAATATGTCATTTCTTTCCGTTATAGAACCGGTTCACAACTTTAGCAATAGCTGCGGTACTATCACAATGGATCAATACAGGAGGGACCGGTCTTTCCCATATGGGAATCTCTGACAACAATCCTCTCAAAAAAGCGGTCTTAACATCCATTTGATGTACCACAAGATTGTTCAAGGCAGCAAGAGCAATCATTACACGAATGGATATTATTCTAGATACTGGTGAATAGGTATCGAAGAAATCTATATTCTCTCTCTGCCTGTAGCCCTTAACTACTAGGCGAGCTCGGAACCTTTCGATTGCACCATCAGGTTTCCGTTTCGTTTTTAGAACCCATTTATTACCTAAGACTTTGCAGCCAGGAGGTAAGTCTGTTAGATGCCAAGTCTTATTAGCTTCTAACGATTCCATTTCATCTATAACGGCCTCATTCCAAAAATCTGCATCTACGGAAGTTAATGCTTCCTGCAAACTTTTTGGATCTTCGAGGGTGAATACTGTAGTAAAGTCATCACCAAAATCTTTAGAGATTCTAGCTCTTTTACTTCTTCTGAGTTCATCCTTAAAACCAACACCCCCACTAGTTCCGTTATCTCTAATAGCGGGTAGTACATTACCCCCACTATTTCTCGTTTTAAATGGAAATCGTGTCTCAAAGAAATCAGCATCAATGGATTCTATTATAGTACGAGCATTCAAATCATAGAATCTATATGCCTTACTATTGGCCGCATAGCCAACGAAGACACATTCATATGCTCGACTAGCCAATTTAATCCTCTTAGGATCCGGAATTCTTACGTAGGCCAAACAGTCCCATGTTCTTAAATAGGACAGATTAGGTGGCTTATTCTTCAAGATCTCATAGGGTGATTCTTTTCTATTTGTTTTTAGAAGACGGTTTAGCACATAGCAAACTGTCAACAAAATATCACCCCACCAAGAAGAAGCAGCTCCAGAATTGAGCATAATAGCCACAACTAATTCTGTAAACGTCCTATTTTTCCGCTAAGCTTTACCATTCATTTCTGGTGAATATGGTGCCGTGGTTTCATGAATGATACCATGTGAGCTATAGAATTCCTTGAAGGGATTAGAGTCATACTCTGATCCTCTATCACTCCTAAGTCTTTTTATCTTTCGATTGCACTGATTTTCAAATTCAACCACAAATACCTTGAACATATCAAGGGCTTCACTTTTGTTTTTCATCAAATAAACAAAGCAATAATCAGAGCAATCATCTATGAAAGTGATAAAGTATCTCTTGCCAGACCTAGTTAACGTCCCATCTAGTTCACAAATATCAGAATGAATAAGATCTAAGGGTTCTGATTCTCTAGTCACAGATTTATGGGGCGTTTTCGTTATTTTAGCTTGGGTACAGAAATCACATTTATCAAATTCATTCATTGAGAGTTTAGGGATATGTCCTAGCTTGCTTAAATTCTTCACAATACGTGTGTTCACATGACAAAGACGCGCATGCCAGACATTCAAATCACACACCATGTAAACTGAAGAATTCATCTTATTAATTTCGACATTCAACTTGAACATCCCATTACATGCATATCCCTTTCCCACAAAACTCCCATTCTTAGTGAGGGTATACAAGTCTGCCCCAATAGATTGATTAAACCCAGCCTTATTAAGAAGATATCCCGAAACAAGATTCTTCCTTATCTCTGGAGTGTGCAACACATCCTTGAGCACCATCTTCTTCCCGGAGGTGAAGTTCAGCTCCACTTCACCAGAACCAGCAACCATAGTGGTGTGAGTAGTCCCCAACAACACTTTCTTGTCAGCAGGTGCTTCTGTGTATGTTTTAAACATAGCACGATTGTTGCATACATGCTTCGATGCACCTGTATCCAGCCACCATCCTTCTGAGTCACCGGTGAGGTTAACTTCAGCGATTATTTCTGTGATCATGGCTATCAAATCCTCTTCTGTCAAGTTAACCCTGGCCGCAACGGCAGGGTTTTGCTTGTTCCGGCACTTCTTTGCCATATGACCCGGTTTTCCACAGTTATAGCAGATAAATGGTGGGTCATTCTTAGAGGTTTGGGCCATGACCCTTTGGTTACCTCGAGAGGCACCATTCTGGTGGGGGCGGACCTGCTGGTTCTTACTCTTAAACCCTTTCTGGTTAGGTTTAAGAGCTCTAGGGGTGGGTCGTTTAGCAGTGACGACCATCACCTCTTCTTTCATATCCTGCTTGCAGGACTCTCCCTCAATCCTTAGGCGTGTAATCAAGCTTTCCAGTGAAAATTCTTTGGTTTTGTGCCTAAGCATATTCTTAAAATCTTTCCACGAAGGGGCAGCTTATCAATAATGCAAGCAACTTGAAATTGATCGTCCAGAGGCATTCCTTCAGAGACGATCTCATGAGCTATTTTCTGAAGTTCGTGGGACTGAACTTCGACGGACTTGTCATCCACCATCTGGTAGCGCAGGTAGCGGCTGACAGCATACTTCTTAGCTCCAGCCTCCTCCGTGTCGTACTTCTTTTGGAGCGCATCCCAGATCATCATCGCGGTGTTCTACTGTCCGCATAGTAGTCGTAGAGATCGTCTGCCAGGCCGTTGAGGATGTAGTTCTTGCACAAGAAGTCATGCACCCTTTCCCTGGCAGAAGCAGCCCTCTCCTCATCAGTCGCTTCTTCCGGCAGCTCGACGGGCATGCTGGTGAGGCAGTGGGCCAGCTTTTTGGTTGTCAGGTAGAACTCCATCTTTTGCCTCCAGTGACGGAAGTTGACCCCAACGAAGCGAAAGGGTCGATTGATATCGACAGCACCAGATCCGGCCATGTTGTTCTGTTCAGTCGACATAGCAGCAGCCGAACGTCTTAAAATTGTTAGGAACGGAACAACAAAAGGAACGAGGTTACCGAATCTGGAGCTGAGTCGCGGACTAGGTCGCTCTCTTTAAGACGTTCGCGGCACTGCCTTCGATGCGCACGGCAGACTATCAACCGGTCGTCTCCAGGATAAAACAGCTCCTCTCAATACTCGCGGTTTTGTGCGAAAATCGAAGCTCTCTAAACACTCTCTCTATTGTGTTTCTGCTCGTTGTCATGTGATTAGAGGGGCTGGGGAGGCGGCTATTTATAGGAGCCGAACCCCTAGGAATATACCCTCTTGCTTGGGGAATAAGTCGGATTAATTAAGGAAGATAATTACTTCCTTAATTAAAACCGTCGGTTAAGATAAACCCGGAGGGATTATCCTTTGAATATTCCGTTTTAGTCGATTATCCTTAGGAATATACCTCAGAATAACCGATTAATAATTAATTATTAGATAATCAATTTCGTTCGGAATTTCTCCAAAAATATATATATAGTCTCAAGTGAACCAACCAACCAACGGACCGACCGGCCGGTCGCTCGGACGGACGGACGGCGCGCGCGCGCGTGTGTGGTGGTCCGTTAGGTCCTCCCTCTCCCACAAAAGTGGGTCACCCCAAGGGGCATGCCCTTGGGAGAGAGGCTCCTATCTTTATACACATTTCACCAAGTAAAACTACCAATGTGGTAGTTTTTCCACTAGAGACTCTATAGCTTTCAAAGCTATTCATTTAGATTTCCAACAGCCTCTGCCGACCACAACCGCTGCAGATTCAAAGACCGTAGGACCCTCGTTCGAGAAGGAAGGGGCGTATGCGGGGCAGAAAGATTTTGATATGAAGCTGGACCTTACCTCTCAGGTCGCTGGGGAGACCCCACCGGCCCCGGCGTTAGAGGAGTCGGTGCAGGTATGTCCAGAATTCCTCCGCCTCCAATGGTAGTTCGCTGGATCGGAATGAAGAGGTCAATTGGATGTTTAGAAAAAGGAAGCTGGATGCGTGGGGTGATGGCGAGCCCCCGTCGCTGTTCAAGAAGGATTCGTCGACGGAGAAAGAGACAACGCAGGGCTCGCCGAAGAGGGGAAAGGGTGTGGCGACTCCAATCGAGCAATTGAAGACGACCCTGGTGGCGGCTTCGAATGAAGGGAAGGCACGGCCGCAGACAAGACTGGAATTCAGCTCGTTGCGAGAGGAGAAGATGTTGCTGGAGTACCAGTGGAAGAAGAAATCGACGGAGACGCCGCCATCCACTAGAAGGGAGAGAACCGCAACGAAAGAAGAAGCGGAGCTATGGGTAGAAGGAGGAGGTGACACCACCTCTCTCTCCAACCCGAAGTCGCTAAACGAGCTCCGAATTGCGCGCGCCATCGCGAAGATGAGCAAGGAAGAGTGCGGCGTCTCTCTCTCTCTCTCTCTCTCTCTCTCTCTCTCGATTGAGGGCAAAACCCAGTCGCTGTTGAAGAGGAATCCATTGGGGATGGAGAAGGAAAGAGGTGGTGTTAAGCAGCCTCGCGCAGCGGCGGAGGGGAGAACTGGGCAGGCAACGAGTACGGCTGCCGACCAGCTGGGGGTTCGTCTATGGCTGGAGAAGGAGTCGTCGGAGAAGGAGGTGACGGCGGAGGGAACGAAGAGGGAGGGCATTGGCTCTCCTTTCTCAAACCCTAGTTCACGTCCCTTGTGAGTCAAAGTCGGTTGGGCCGCACAACTTGACAAGATTCGGTGTGTTTTAGTGATCTTTGGGCCCAACTAAGTAATGAGTGGGCTGCATGAGGGTTTGGTTGTTGGCTGATGGGAGCCCAGCAGAACGGATTGAGGCTTGAAGTAAAGTGGGTTGAGGAAGGGAGTTGTCACAGGCCCAAGAAACGAGAGTCTGATGGAGTGCAAGCAATTGATGGGCTAGGGTCTCAAAGGGAACTTGAGCCCAAATTATTTTGTTTAGTTGAATCTATCCTATATTGTGTGGACTTGGAATAAAAGAAAGATGGATTCATGGGCTTAGATGGTGGGCTCAAAGAAGAACAAACCTCTGGTTCTTACTTTGTAGAGTTTGAAAAGGAGGGTGGAGGGTCAGTTGGTCATGGATGCAGTTTAAGCCACATGGTTGGAGAAGAAGCGATGAGAGTCGTAGTTTCTGGAGTGGGATTCATTCGAGTAGTGGAGCACAATTGGAAGAAAAGGAAGCGTATGAAATGGAGGAGTCAACCGCAAATTGTGCGAGAAGAAAGAGAAGAGTGGGTCGAGTTGAAAAACCTTGAGGCAAGGTTGGTCTCAAGGCGGAGGAGATGATAGAAACACGTTTTCGTGATTCCATCATAATTATTATTATTAGGATATTTACAAATAAGGATAGTAGTCTTTTAGTAGGATTAGGTTTATTATTAGATTTTCCTATCTTTCCTATAAATATGTAATCGGGGATTCATTATCAATCAAGTAAGAACAATTATCCAGAAAGTATCTCTCCCAAAACCCTAATCCTCTATCTCCTAATTTTTCGTTCTCTAGCCCTCTAGGCTTCGGCCGATTCTAGCTTCTATTCTTCTTCTTCCTCAAATTCCCAATCTCAGAACCCTAATTCTGTTCTTAATCCCTAAATCCCAATCTCACGACCAGACCCGATAGAACCCTAATCCCAGGTTCTATCAATGGTTTAGTCGTATAAACACATAAACCACTTAATTGTGTCATAATGACAAAACGTGCACAAGTACAAACTCTTACTACCGAGTCCAAATTGTACACTACGGTGTATTTGCACTCCAAACGTGTTGTAATGTTGATAGACAAGTGATTCAATCATTAGTTTAGTCTTATAAACACATAAACCATTTAATTGTGTCATAATGACAAAACGTGCACAAGTACAAACTCATCCTACCGAGTCCAAATTGTACAATAAGGTGGATTAGCACTCCAAATATCTTGTAATGTTGATAGACATGTGATTCATTGATTAGTTTAGTCATATAAACACATAAACCATGTAATTGTGTCATAATGGCGAAATATGCACAAGTACAAACTCTTACTACCGTGTCTAAATTGAACAATAAGGTGGATTGTCACTCCAAATGTCTTGTAACGATGATATTCATGTGATTCATTCATTGGTTTAGTCCAATAAACACATAAACCGCTTAACTATCTTGTAATGTAGATAGATATTTCATCAAATGAATGCTTATCTTATAAACATATAAACCACTAAGTTGTGCCATACTGACAAAACTTGCACAAGTACGAACTCTTAGTATAGAGGCCAAATTGTACAATAAGGTGAATTTGCACTCCAAATTTCTTTTAATGTTGATAGACATGTGATTCTATGATTGGTTTAGTCATATAAACACATAAGCAGCGTAATTGTATCATAATGACAAAACATGCACGAGTACGAATTCTTAGTACCGACTAAAAATTGTACAATAAGGTGGATTTGCTCCAAATGTATTGTAATGTAGATAGACATATGATTCAATAAATGATTTAATAATATAAACTCAATAACCACTTAATTGTGTCATAATGACAAAACGTGCACAAGGACAAACTCTTACTAATGAGTCGATATTGTACAATAAGGTGGATTTTCACTCCAAATGTCTTGTAACGTTGATACACATGTGATTCATTGATTGGTTTAGTCATATATACACTTAAACCGCGTAATTGTGATATAATTTCAAAACGTGCACGCGTACGAACTCATAGTATGAATTCAAAATTGTACAATAAGGTGGATTTGAAATGCCTTGTAATGTTGATAGGCTTGTGATTCATTGATAGGTTTAGTCATATAAACACATAAACCGCTTAATTGTTTCATAATTACAAGATGTGCACGAGTACGTACACTTAGTACGGAGGCCAAATTGTACAATAAGGTGGATTTGCACTCCAAATGTCGTGTAATGTAGATAGATATTTGATTCAATGAATTCTTTAGTCATATTAACACATAAACCGCTTATATGTGTAATAATTACAAGACGTGCACTAGTACGAACTCTTAGGACATAGGCTAAATTGTACAATAAGGTGGGTCTGCACTCCAAATGTCTTGTAATGTTGATAGACATGTGATTCTATAATTGGTTTAGTCATATAAAAACATAAGCAGCGTAATTGTATCATAATGACAAAATATGCACGAGTACGAACTCTTAGTACCGAATACAAATTTTACAATAAGGTGGATTTGCACTCCAAATGTATTGTAATGTAGATAGACATATGATTCAATGAATGGTTTAGTCATATAAACTCATTAACCACTTAATTGTGTCATAATGACAAAACGTGCACAAGGACAAACTCTTACTACCGAGTCGATATTGTACAATAAGGTGGATTTTCACTCCAAATGTCTTGTAGCGTTGATAGATATGTAATTCATTGATTGGTTTAGTCATATATACACTTAAACCGCGTAATTGTGTCATAATTACAAAACGTGCACGTGTACGAACTCATAGTATGAAGTCAAAATTGTACAATAAGGTGGATTTGAAATGCCTTGTAATGTTGATAGGCTTGTGATTCATTGATAGGTTTAGTCATATAAACACATAAACTGCTTAATTGTTTCATAATTACAAGATGTGCACGAGTATGAACTCTTAGTACGGAAGCCAAATTGTACAATAAGGTGGGTTTGCACAACAAATGTCTTGTAATGTTTATAGACAAGTGATTCATTGATTAGTTTAGTCATATAAACACATCAACCACTTAATTGTGTCATGATCAAGACGAAACATGCACAATTACAATCTCTTCCTACCGAGTCCAAATTGTACAATAACGTGGATTTGCACTCCAAATGTCTTGTAATGTTTATAGCCACGTGTTTCATTGAATGGTTTAGTCATATAAACACATAAACTGCTTAATTGTGACATAATTACAAGATGTGCACGAGTGCAAATTCTTAGTACGGAGGCCAAATTGTACAATAAGATGGATTTGCACTCCAAATGTCGTGTAATGTAGATAGATATTTGATTCAGTGAATTCTTTAGTCATATAAACACATAAACCGATCATCGCGGAAACCCCCCTTCCGTCGCCTCTTTGTATCGGGCTTGAAAAAATGAATCGCCATTGCTCTTGGATTTGTTTGGACCTCCCAGGCCTCGCTTCGCCGGAGCTTTGCCCTTCACGAGTTCTGCCCTAACAATTCGAGCCTGCCCCAACAATTGCAAGCGGCGAATTTCTTTTTTTTTTTTTTATTTCTTTTCCGGCGATGACATGGAGGAGAAAAGCTGATGGGGGTTTGATGCTCCATTAGGTATATATATTACACGTTTAGCTTAGGGTTTAATTGGTTCACAGGGTATTTTGGGTGAGGTTAATCTGAAACCCAATTAACATCCGTAACTTATTCATTTTATGTCAAAATTTGACACCGCTTGAACCGATAGTTCCCATTTTAAGTCATCCTCAACATTACGGTGAAACTTGACCCAAGGGTATAATAATCATTTTGACAGCGGGATGTAACAATGAACGAGTACGAACTCTTAGTACTGACTCCAAATTGTACAATAAGGTGCATTTGCACTCCAAATGTCTTGTAACAATGATAGACATGTGATTCATTGATTGGCTTAGTCATATCAACACATAAACCGCTTAATTGTCTCATAATTACAAAACGTGTATGAGTACGAACTCTTAGTACGGAGTCAAAATTCTACTTTAAGGTGAATTTGCATTCCAAATGTCTTCTAATGTTGATAGACATGTGATTCATTGATTGGTTTAGTCATATAAAAACATAAATCACTTAATTTTGTCAAAATTACAAAATGTGCACAAGTACAAACTATTAGTACGGAGTCATAATTGTACAATAAGGTGGATTTGCAGCCCAAATGTCTCGTCATGTTGATAGACATGTGATTCATTGATTATTTTAGTCATATAAACACATAAACCACTTAATTGTGTCATAATGACAAAACGTGCACAAGTAAAAACTCTTCCTACCGATTGCAAATTGTACAATAAGGTGGATTTGCAATCCAAATGTCTGGTAACGATGATAGACATGTGATTTATTGATTGGTTTAGTCAAATAACACACAAACCGCTTAATTGTGTCATAATTACAAAACGTGCACGAGTACGAACTCTTAGTACGGAGCCAAAATTGTACTTTAAGGTGAATTTGAATTCCAAATGTCTTCTAAAGTTGATAGACATGTGATTCATTGATTGATTTAGTCATATAAAAACATAAACCGCTTGATTGCGTCATGATTACCAAACGTGCACGAGTATGTACTCTTAGTACGGAGGCCAAATTGTACAATAAGATGGATTTGCACTCCAAATGTCGTGTAATGTAGATAGATATTTAATTCAATGAATTCTTTAGTCATATAAACACATAAACCGCTTAAATGTGCAATAATTACAACATGTGAACAAGTACGAACTCTTAGTACATAGGCCAAATTGTACAATAAGGTGGGCATGCACACTAAATGTCTTGTAATGTTGATAGACATGCGATTCAGTGATTTGTTTAGTCATACAAACACATAAACCGCTTAACTGTGTCTTAATGACAAAACGTGCACAAGTTCAAACTCTTCATATCGAGTCCAAATTGTACAATAAGGTGGAAGTGCAGTCCAAATGTCTTCTAACGTTGATAGCCATGTGATTCATTGAATGGTTTAGTCATATATACATATAAACCGCTTAATTGTGTCATAATTACAAGACATGCTCGAGTACGAATTCTTAGTACATAGGCAAAATTGAACAATAATGTGGATTTGCACTCCAAATGTCTCGTAATGTTGATCGACATGTGATTCTATGATTGGTTTAGTCATATAAACACATAAACCACACAATTGTATTATAATGGCAAAACATGCACGAGTACGAACTCTTAGTACCTAATCCAAATTGTACAATAAGGTCGATTTGCACTCCAAATGTATTGTAATGTAGATAGACATATTATTCAATGA